CAGGAGGAACATAATTTCTAGGAAAACTTAAGCACTGTGAAGAAAGTCTAGCTGCACTTGTCTGCAACAAAGGCCCGCTGCTTCAAAACTGTATGCTCAGGACCAGCTAATCTCATTGTCCTATCTGGGAAAACAGTAAAATCTAAATCCTAGAGCACGTAGTAAATTTAATCCAAGATGAAACTTGAAGCAGTGGAGAAACATTATTACAAACAAAGTGTTTTAGAAATTAGCTTTGATTTATTCATTTCTTGATGAGCTTTACAGTTGTATTAGTTAACACACCAAAATTGCTGTATTTCTACCTTTAACTCTTGCTCCGGTGCACACAGATTTAATTCCACACAGCTTGCTTTTGTGACTTGTCTTTTTTGGTTGGGCTCACTGCACTAAGTAGAGCAGAAGGTAGACTGGGGGAGAGAACAAGGCTTCTGTGTATTTGTCTGGTCAAAAATAAAAATATAGTATGTGTATACCACTGAGCTATGTCACGTATTGAGATCTTTCATCGGAATTCACCACTTTGTACTCTTCCAAGGGGCACTTAATCTGCTGTCGTGTAGCTCAGTTCCCTAGCATACATAAAAGCAGCTATGGTTTTCCATCATTAAATTTTTCATTGTTGTTGTTGCTTCTAAACCAATGTAAGCAACAAAATCACTGGTTTACTATTGACTTCTATATGATGAAATAACATCCAAACCAGCATTTAAAAATAAAAAGTGCTCTTTAAATTATGCAACATGATGAAACTGGGGAAGAAACAAAATTGAAGCTGCCCGTAGAACTTTAGTCTGTCCCTATGTGTGAGGTGTAATTAAGTTTTTGTGTGCATTTTTTTCCTAAAAGGTCTTTTTGTTGTTCAACAGGAAGGTAGACTTCAGTCTGCCTAGGCTCCGGGTTTTTTTCTGAATTACTGCTTTTAAAGCACATTCATACTTTCAATGCCTCTATGAAATTTTCCATAGTGTTTATACTGTGGAAGAGAAAGGAAGAACCGTGGAACCCAATATTTCTGTATGCTCAGCTTAGAAACTTTAGGATTTTCAAGTGTGTAATATGCTTAGAGTGCTTTTATATTAAAATATCAAGTTTGTTTTAGTTGGAAACATGAACACTTGCCATTTCTGCATATCTGGTTTTTGATCTCTGACAGAGCATGCAGAAATACATGAATAAGGCTTAGCTATGGAGAATCTTCACCTAATTTTCCCAGCACCATGTAAGAGCAGAAGAAAGAAAAGAATCGAGCTCTGTGCTGGCATTCCTAACAAAATGACTGTGGTGGGTTGACCCTGGCTGGATGCCAGGTGCCCACCAAAGCTGCTTTATCACACCCACTCCTCAGCTGGACAGGGGAGAGAAAATACAATGAAAGGCTTGTGGGCTGAGATAAGGACAGGGAGAGATCACTCAGCGATTACTGTCACAGGCAAAACGTGACTTGGGGAAATTAGTTTAATTTATTACCAATCAAATCAGAGTAGGGTAATGAGAAATAAAATGAAATCTTAAAACACCTTCCCCCCACCCCTCCCTTCTTCCTGGGCTCAACTTCACTCCTGAATTCTCTACCTAACCGCACCAGCTGTGCAGGGGGACAGGGAATGGGGGTTGTGGTCAGTTCATCACACATTGCCTCTGCTGCTCCTTCCTCCTCAGGGGGAGGACTCCTTACACTCTTCCCCTGCTCCAGCATGGGGTCCCTCCCACAGGAGACAGTTCTCCACGAACTTCTCCAATGTGAGTCCTTCCCACAGGCTGCAGTTCTTCACAAACTGCTCCAGCATGGGTGCAGTCCTTCAGGAGCAGACTGCTCCAGCGTGGGTCCCCCACAGGGTCACAAATCCTGCCAGCAAACCTGCTCCAGCATGGGCTTCTCTCTCTGTGAGTCCACAGGTCCTGCCAGGAGCCTGCTCCAGCGCAGGCTTACCACAGGGTCACAGCCTTCTTTGGGTGCATCCACCAGCTCCAGTGCAGGTTTTTTTTTTTCCCCTTTGTCGTGGTTTAACCCCAGTTGGCAACTGAGCACCACGCAGCCGCTCGCTCACCCCCCCACCAGTGGGATGGGGGAGAGAATCGGAAGGGTAAAAGTGAGAAAACTCGTGGGTTGAGATAAAAACAGTTTAATAGGTAGAGCAACAGTCACGCACGCAAGCAAAGCAAAACAAAGGAATTAATTCACTACTTCCCAT